TTCATCCCTAAGTTTCAGAGTTGAGTTTCCTCTCCCCGTATTTACAAACCCAGGCAGGTTGGGTTGCTGGTGCGATGCCATCAGAGACGGCCTTATCTAGCTACAAAGCGTGAATCAGAGATTACACCACACAGGGCTGGTGCCAGCTAGACGGGCTGCCATACTGTCAAGTAACCCAGTGGTCGAACCAGGTCTGGTTGAGTAATATGCACCAATGGGAAGTGAGTTTATTAATCATGCAGCATAGTACACTGTTGACGAAAGTGCAACTCTGAAGGCCTGGCTTGATTGGAGAAGGTGCAGGTGGGGCTGGATGCTAAGAAGACACCCAGTGACACTATCTTCCTCTGACAATATCCATTTGAAAAAACATAGAAATCTGGAAGGAACCATCTAGCTTAGCAAAGAGATGGATCATTTGCTCAGTCATTAGGACTTTTTGGCCATCTTGAATTCCCTTTGTTAAAAAAAAAGGAGGACACCTCCTGTGGCTGCATGTAAAGTTGTACTCTGGAATTTTGCAAGTTCCGTGAGGCGAGAGAAGGGAATTCAAGATGGTAGCCGGTGACCTAGAATTGTGTGGGTGAGAAACTTTAAGATTCCATACTGCATTCTCTTTATTGATCTCTCACTTCAAAAACATTCTTTTCTAAAGCCACAGCCCTCCTCCTCTACCCAAGTCTGCCTTCAACTTCTTGGTAACTATAGCCAACCAGAAACACCACCCACATTTTTCACTGTGATGGGCCTGCACTGGGGCAGCAAGAGCAGTTTCTGAGCAGGGAGGCTATGCATTTCTGTCACTGTGTGGCTGGCCTGGTTTGTACTTCAGGCACTGAGACACCACTCCCAGTCATATGCAGTGCTATACTTACATAGCTCAGTATCATGCACCAAGCCCCTAAACTTTGCTGAGGCAGGTAATATGGAAACGCATGGGAGAGAAGCCCAGGTGAGTGTTTTGGAGGGGAGGCAGGGAGACAGGGAGAGGGACAGGGCTCACTTGTCTAAAGACTGCTCTAGGACAAGCCTCACAGTGATAAAGGATCCTAAAGCCTACAGAAAATTAGGTGAGGGGGGTGGGCTGGAGATATTGACACAGGAAGGTCATGGGAGGTACATATCTCTTCAAGAGAAAGCTCTAGGGCTGGCAAATAAACCCAGTTAAGGACAGGGAAGTTTCTGGGGGAAAAAAGCTCAGGGAGGGGAAGAACCACTTTTACGAGAGACAGAAGTTGTAAGATGTGAGGGGTTAAAGCATTCCCTGTATGTTCTCCAAACCCCAAATGTTCTTTCTTCTCTTAAAAGCATCAGAACCCTGGGTAGTTCATAAAAGTAGTTTTTCAGCCAGGACCTACAAATAGTGAGGCCTAGAGAATCCTGTCTAAGTGAGATTGAAGTTATAGAACTTTAAACCTGACTTTCCCCAGTTATCCTACCACAAAAGAGCTTCCAATCTCTCTGGTTATCTGGCCAACCCTGAAGAACCCCTCTCAAGTCTCCACCTGTTTTTCAAGCTTCAAAAGCTTTAGCAAGAGCACCACTCACAGTGGCTGTAGTGATCCTCCGGGTCCTGTTCTGGTGCTCCCGGTGATCATCAGAGGAACAGTTCACAGATCAGGAGACATCCTCCTTTCTACCCTCAAACACCCACTGGAAGCCAGAGAGAAGGGCTCTAGAAGGTTCCAGCCACTAGCCCTGAATCCCAGGGGTTTATCTAATCTGTTCACCGAGTCTTTCAGCAGTTTGAAGCTCTCAGTAGGGTGGAGGAGAATTCTATTCTTTTGGAACCGCAGCGAACACGCAACACTGGAAACACCAGAACCACACAAAATTCTGACCAACTTCCAATAACACTGAATTCCACGTTTCCACACTGAGAATTTTCAGAGCAAGAACGCCAAAGCCAGGCATAAGAACCTATCAAACCAACCACCAGCCAAAAACAAAACAAGACAAAGAACAGGCCAAACCAAAACTTTATGCTATGAAAACGAGAAATAAAATAAGGAGATTTATAGGCCGGCTGATTGTCAGCAAACACAATATATTTACTGTATTAGCATTTGCTCACAGTGCAAATGGTACAACATTACACCATTTCAATATTTCGGTTTTTAAAAATGCTGTTTTCATGAACTATATTATATTGGCATAACAATGTGACAAAGGAGCAGATGAAATGTTGGTGAAGAATTTCACCTTTTCACAATATCAAGCATATTTTTTAACCTTAGTATAAGGTACTATAAATCCAAGAAATAAAAACATCCACAAAATATATTACATCTGGTTTGTCTTTTTCTAAGTACTCAACTTTATACAAAAGTCTTCCAAAAAATATCATTCCCCATAGGTTTTCCTGTTTAAAACCTGATTTTTTTTTTTTCTCTCAGTTCACATAAGTTAGAGTGCATTTTCTTTTGCTGTTTTTTTAAAACATGCAGACATATAAAAAAAATCTGGATAGCACAACCTTTTGGCAACAAAGTTATTTTTTCTCTTAGTTTAGCTTAAATGTCTGAGAACAGTTTTATTAAAACAAAGGAAAACTCAGAGTTATCATGCAGTGACATGCACAAGCCAGAAGGAGCAAGGAAAAAATATTAAAGGATATCTGATTCCTCCTTCCGGCTTTGAAGTGACCAAAATTTTTGTTTTTAATAATCATCACATTATAAAAAGTATTCAGCAAAATACTGTCTCTACAAAGAAAGATTTTACCCCTCAGCTGAAAAAATATGAGCCCTCCTGGCAAACTTCATCACCCTCCTCTCTCCTTCTACAAAAAGTCCAAGTACCTGGAAATCCACAATCCCCCTGCTTTTTAACCGCCCCCCCCTCCACTGGACTCCTTTTAGTATTATTATTATCCTCCACCAAAAAAAAAAAAAAAAAAAAAAAAAAAAAAAAAAAAAAATAG